CACTTAACTCTTTAAAAAGTCCGCTGAAACAGCAAACAGCGTTTGATGTTTAATGAACGTTTTATGGACAATGTAATGTCGTATAGCTGTAACGTCGTTGCTATGTTACTAAAATTTTAGCCAGCGAGAGATTTGAAAGATCTCGTGGTTGAAACAACCTCGTTTAAAGATGTGTAAAAGATATGTACGCTAAAATGAGTTAGTTTTCTGTAACTCTTTAAAATAAAAAAATACTAGTTATTTGTAAAAATGGTATACTTTCATTACCAACCTCGTTACAACAACAATAATACTAATCTTTGCCTAGGAGTCTATCTTTATTAAAACTATATAAATAAAACTTTAAAAATAAAGTATGTAATCAAAAATCTTTTAACTTTGTAGACTCATTTTCTCAGTTTATTTGGTGCTACTTTGGTAGACGGTTGCACGGATTTTTGGTGATTTACTTTGGCGGAATTGTTGGCGCGGTTTTTACAATCGTCAGCCATCTTGAAAAACACTGATTTTACGTATTTTACGCATAGTAAAGTATTCGAAACCTTAAAAACATAAATATTGTTCAAAATAATGGATTATTATTATTATTTTTTTGTTGTTGTTGTTGTTGTTGTTGTTGAAAACGTTGTTTTTTAAGATGGCAGGCAAATGTAAATAAATACATTTACTGCGAGTATAAAATACTAAAGTAAAGTAAGGTTAAATTATTACTTTCATATAGCAAAGAAATAGAATAAAAACACCGCTATAAAAACACTGCTCCAATGTTTAATTGGATTAAAATATTACTTAAATTCAAATACTTTAAAATAAGTAAATAAAAACGCTTCGTACACTAGAGCTAAAATGACAGCAATTAGAAGTTTACTGCCGGTAAAAAAGAAGGAATGTTTAATTCTTTTTTTACCCGTTACAGCGGTTATTTCTTTCACCGTGACCACAATACCATATACGGCCGTCCTCAGAATCGGCTCTTTTAACGATCTTCAAAATTTAAAATAAATTTCCTCTGATCCTTGTAACAATTTATAAATAAACCTTTGATTAGGAAAGCCAGATTCGCCAAAATAAGGTCTCAAAGGACAATTTTTTTATTCCGATACCAATAATTCTTGGTAGTTATCAATAACAACATTAATCTTTGAAAAGGACATATCCGTTCGCTATAAAATCTAAGGAATTCGAAGAGATCAATAATAAAATTTTAAACTGGCGGGGTAATGCAAAAATATTCCGTAACCAATTAGGGAGCTGCTTACAGCTCGTTAATGCACAAATATTCAGAAGCCAATCAGGGAGCTGATTACATCACGCATGGAATTAAAATTATTTAAATAATCATACATAATAAAATCATTTTCTAAAAAAAAAGCAAGATAAAATTGTATTTTAATATTTAACAGCCATAAATAATAAATTTATAGATATTAAAACCAATAACTTTTAAAGTATATAAAATTTTTATTTAACTTTTAAAGTATTTTAAAATTGTATAAAATATCATAAACAATAAAATTTTTATTTCAAATAAAAATGCAAAATTAAATTCATTTTTAATATTTAGAAGCCATAAATAATATTTAAAACGCGGAATTTATGCATAATAAAACGCACTAATTTTTTAAATAAAATGACAACAAAGTATCGGTTACCATAAATAACTTATCCAGCAATGGGTTTACCATAAGTCGTATCGCTCGCCAAAAAAAAATCTCGCCAAAATCCGTGCAACCGTCTACCAAAGTATTTTAACAATGTAAAGTTTATTTTAACAAAGCAAGAATTCGAATAAAAGCTAATGTTTTTTAACATTTTTCTAGGTTCCTTCGAAATTAAATTAAGCATAGAGGAAAGATCTGGAAAGCTATCTTTACTGAGTTGCATGTTATTTCTTGCTGTAAATATTATTATGCAAGAATTCAGATAAAAACACTACTGTTATAAAAAATAAAAATGCCAAGTCTCAGAACATTTTTCCCCTAAATTCAGACTTTCTTTAGGCATATGATTTAGTGGCCTTTTATGAATCTAAAAGTTTCTTAAATGTAACATTAAAAAAAAAAGTCTCGAAAGAAAACATTAAAATTGAAAGGTACACAATCACATAAACTAAAAGATATATACTTTAAAAGTGTGGGTAGAATTACGCTCAATTTTCTCGAAATAATTGTTTTCATTCGCCATTTTTAGCTCTGAAATTAATTTTACATAAATAGAGTTATTTATTACTGTATCCATCGTTCTCTGAATTATCGCTTTCTAACATCATTTTCGAACAATTTAGAATTTTCAGATCATATCTGCGATACAGCTTTCCACCATTTGGGGGAAAAATTCGGAATAATGTATATATGTATTATTTGCGTTACTTCTCTTTTGTACAAGAATCTGTCAAAATGTTAATATTGTAATTCTGTAAGCTTTAACTTGGCTTCCGTTATATTAACGTCATTCCCATACCTAATTTCACTGTAACTTACATCAAGTTTCTTTCTGATAGTTTTCATAATTATTCTTGTCAGTTTTCAGAGATTTTAAGGCTCAGTTTTTCCTTGGCTCCACAAGCAGTATGATTAAATTTAACTAAAAATTAACAATAGGAAATGCGAAGACTCAGAGTCTTACGAAGCTTTAGTAACAAATGTTTTCTATGCATGCACAGATTGGAAGCGACGTCGAACACGGAAACATTTCAGATCTCGAAAAATATATTTTCAGTTGAGGTAAAATCTGTTTAAAGGAACAAAAATAATCTATGATATCGTCTGTTAAAAAACAAATTTTTCTGTGTCAAAATTAATAAATTACAAGAATTCATTATAATAAGTAACGATTTACAATATATTACTTGTTTATAATGTATAACTATAACTATTTCTTTGCTTATCCTTTTTACCGTATTTATCGATTTTTTCCTCTATTCCATTGAAAATGCTCGAGATTCCTCAGTATTTCAAATTGTTTCAAATACTTTTTATCTGAAATACCAAGATATTGGATATTTTCTTCAGTACTAAAATAGTGGACTAGTGCTACGTGGAAATCACAGTAGTAATAACTAACAACTGATGATAGGTTGTAGAATGGAAATATAGCGTTTTGTTCCCATTAGTAATAGGTTCAAAAGTGGTTGGACTCCGTAAATTAAAAATTGTATTCGTAAAGATAAAAAATTTTAAACAATTTTAAAAAATATTGTGAGATGTTTTCTCTCTCCTTATCGTGTGCCTTAGTCGAGTAATTGAGATCACTTCGAACGAGCAATTTGGAGGTCAGAAGTTCGAATCCAGACCCTGACATCGCTGATTTCTCATGTTTCCTGGCTCTAAAAAGTAAAAATTGCTCTACAAGTAGCGCCCGAACTAAAGTATGGTGGACAATAATTCATCACTACCAGGATTTAGATACTGAGTCCTTCTCTTCCCAGTCTCCTTTTATGTGGGCGAAAATATAAAGTATTTACAACTACCTTTCGCCATGTCTTCCCAGTGTTATTGGAAACACGTCTGGCTATAGGTAGGTTCGAATGTAGAATCACGACAAGAGCATTTCTTTTCTTCGGTTTCCTGGCTTCTAAAATTCCAGTGTCTCTAAAACATAAGGGCCAAATTAAGAAATTCAGTTTCGAAGGAAACTAAACTCCAGTTTCAGAATTTAAGAGTTTATCTTTCTGAATCAAAATCATGGATTAATACTAAAACATGCAGCAGTAGTAGTTGACAGTAAATAAAGTGAGGTATTTTCCATTATACAAAAACACCATTTGAAAAAAAAAAATATGCAGGGGATTTTTAATTAAAAGTTATAGTTCAGAAGTTGAGAAACCTTTACGTTCTTCTTTATTTACTTATTTTAAAGTATATAAAAACTTTAAAGAATATAAAAGTAATTCTTCTTATAGAAAGCTATTGAACTATATAAGTATCCCATTAAATTATGTAAGTGTTTCAGTTTGGAGATAGAAAAATATTGATGTTATTGAATTAGTTATGGAGTTATGGCAACTCAGATGATATATGTCTGCGTAAGAAAAGTGACATCTTCGTAGAAAACTTGCAAGCATAAAGTGGCTCTTACTCACATTATAGATAGAAAACACGAAAACGTCACCATGACTAGCAAGTTCTCTGTGATTTAAACCCTGATCTGATTGTTGCGGTTTAACAATATTATTCACTTGTTCATTCTCGCGGTAATAAATTTAAGAACAAAATTTTAGTTAAATTTACATTAAGCAACAAACCTCTGCATTTAAAAGAGCGTTTAAATACCTGGAATTAATTCAAAAAATCATTTGGGGGATATTTAAATGCATAGTCATGTTTTAAACAAGCAAAACGCAAATTATACTGAAGCTCATTTTCACAAAATGAACTGAAATTTAATCATTACTCTGTCCGAAATGATAATATCGACATTACGATTCAAGAATAATATCAAAAACTTCTAAACGAATATTTTTTATAACGTTTCAGAAGAATCATTTTCGCAAGAAATGCTAGACAAAGAGTGCTTCCGAAATACAGTTCGGAGATTAAATTGAAAAAGTTTTCACGTTTTAGTGATTTTACCGAATGTCTGTAATCTGGCCACAGTCATTCGAAACAGATGAACAAAATCAACATTGTTTGGATTTCGCCTACTGTCTTTCACTTTTCGAAATAAATAAATAATGCCCGCACGTATTTCATCGATTGTTGTTCTTTCGTAATTTCTTCAGGATTGCCCATTACGAATTTTATCGAAAGAGAAGAATATAGAAATTTTTTTTAGCCATAAGAAACTTTCAGTGCATTTTCTTATTTTTCCGTGCTTACAGAAATTTATTCATGAACAAAAGAACCCATGAAATTCATTTGTTTCAGTAAACTGTACTTCAATTTGAGGTCAAATTCATATAGCATATGAAACTGGTGGTAAATAAGATTCTGTTTAACTAATATAAGAACGGTTCTGTGCTTTTTAACTATGTGTATATTGGTATCTTTCTAATTTTACAGGGCCTTCATTCACTTCTGCGTTTATCTTTATACGGCAATCGTATCAAATTCATTGACAATTTAGCCTTTGTCGGCATCGGTAGAAATCTCACTCGCATCAACCTGGGAGCCAACCAACTGACAGCTGTCCCATCAAGGCCATTAAGAAACCTGTCTGTGCTCCAGAGACTCCAGCTGCACGAAAATAACATTGCTGCTCTTCTACCGGAAGAATTTGCTGCTATGGATGGAGAATCCCTAGATGTCCTGAATTTAGCCAACAACAAAGTCCAGCAGCTTCCACCAAGGGCCTTCATGTCTCTTCACGCTCTAAATTCCCTAGATCTGGAGAGTAATTTGATAACTTCTATACATTCCCATGCATTTCAAGGAATTGAAGGTAAATGTGTATGATTGTATGTATACATGCAATCATATATTCATATAATCATTATATTCATATAAGTTTAATATCTCTAATAAGTGTAAATGCATTGAAAGAAATCCTCACTAAAAATCTTAATTCTACAGTTTCGGGCCATATGTTTTTTATCCCTTGCTAGATGCATTGTACAAAGTAAATAAAAATGTATCTCTATTGGAATTATGGTTTCCTCCATTAAATGGGAAAGGCTCACGACATTCCATGAAGACAATGTTGTAAATACTTATCAATACTTGCTTGTAATTTGTTATATATACTATATATATTGTAATATTGAGTGTATTGTTTTGATTTACTTATTTATTGTTTAGTGGGTGTGTATTATGATTTTATATTTATTTTGTTTATTCTTCAACTCGTGTCTGTTTATTGTTATTTGTGTATGTTCGCCTCATGTGTTGTATTACGTACTATTGTTATTTATTTCTGAGTCGACTGATGTGGAAATTGTCAGGATGGCTGTAAACCTGAGAAGTGCGTAGAAGCTGTCCTTCTACGTCTTGGTGATATTTGGCAATTATTTGCTAGCCTGGCGCTATTTTAGAGGTGTCTTTTTTTTTTTTTTTTTTTTTTTTTTTTTTTTTTTTTTTTTTTTTTTAAATACTTTCTTGAAGGCGCAATTTTTGTCAAAGCTTACAAAAGTGCTTGTGCTCTTCTTTGAGCAAAAGTTTAATTATGATGATGCGTTCGAATCTCGTGTTCAGTTCGGTGTTTTGATTCAAATACGTCATGTCACCCTCTGGCTACTGAGCATTTCGTTCGATGATTACTGCTTTACACTGTGATTTCTGTCATCTGAGAATATGTCTCAGATGACAGAAATAGCAGATCATTAAAATCATTAATCACAGATCCAAAATCTTTACTACGTTATTACTGACTCATCCTCTTCCTCTATTCGTAATCTCTCTCTTTGTTTTAATCTACATTTCCTCGGCCTCTTTTTCCCTGTTGGCAGTTTGTCTTTTTTATCTTGACCACAACACAGAGCAAGCAACAATAATCACAGATTTGATTTAAAGCTATTTTTTACCTGATTCTCGCCTCAATCTGAAGTAGAATATGACTGTGATGTATCATGCACTTATTGATATACGGCAATTTGCTTATCAAAAGATTTTTAACTGACCCAAAATCCTTTATAGCTAGTAATCAACAGAGTTGAAGATAAATCTTTCCAATTACGACTAATGACATTTATTTTTTTTTTTTTTTTTTTTTTTTTTTTTTTTTTTTTTTGCTACACATAAAAGCACACGACAGCAAAGGCGAACACCTCCATCGTGGGTTTTCTAAAGTAAACAGACTCATAGTCACATTATACATGCAGAAAAATAATAAAACACTTGTGTGGACAAATTGTTCTCGGGATTCAAATTCGTATCAAACTGCAAGTATTCGGCTTTCTTACTCATTTGGTCGTTAGAAGGCATAATATTAAAGCAAGAACATGAGATGAGTATCAGCATATTATTCTTATACAAATTCAGAAATAAAAACATTTAATTCTTTGTCTGTCTGCAAGTCTTGATAAGTTTTAATTATTTTAAGTTTGCAAAACCTAAGCGAAATTTACAAAATATAAATTTTAGATGTGTAGCTTTGAAAACTAGAGAGTGTGTATTTTAGTTAAATTATAAGGTATTTCTCCCGCCTTCTTAGCATGCCTTCGTAGTGTAATGGTCTGCACGCTGGGCGAGTATTCCAGAGGTCCGTGCTTCGATTCCCGGCGAGGGCGTTGCTTATTTTTCATCTTGCCTGCTTCCAAAAAATACTTAATGTCTCTACAATGGCGCCTGAACTAAAAGGGTGGTGGATTATGATTCTCCACCTCCAGGATTTGGCGATTGGGTCCCCTAATCCCCAGCTGCCTTTTAAAAGGGGAAGTATATAAGGCATTTTTCCCGTCTTCTTAGCATGCTTTCATATTCAGTAGTCAGCACGCTCGGCGCGTATTCGAGAGCTCCATGATTCGATTCCCTACGAGGGCATTGCTCATTTTTCATCTCTCCTGCTTCGAACCTACCTAATGTTTTTACAACATTACTGTCTAAATTGCTTTGAAACATTGCATGTTTATTTTAGTCATATTGTTATCTTAAAAGATAGTCCGTTAAACACATTAAAAACAGAATGAAATGACATAGAAAGCCATTGCATGTTCTCAGAACTTTTATCGGTGCTTTTGTTTATTTTATTTATTAGAATTAAAAACGAAACATTAGGTAGTAAGTATTAGTTAAATTATTTTCTTAATTTCCTTAACTAGTAATAATGCCATGAGTCAGAAAGCAAATACCGATTTTGATCCATAAAATATTTTCTCCTAGTTTATTCCTCTTTTATTCCATTGTGAACCCATTTCGTATTTATTTTAGTAGGAATACCTGGTTGCTGTTATCACTAACGAAGGCATACAGTCGAAATGTAATTTAATGAGATAATTTTCTGTGCTTAGTTTATTTAAATAATCATATTGCTATTACTAATGGTATGCTTAATAATAATTATCCTTAGGCATGCCAGTAGATATTAGCATGTCTTGCAAGTCATAACTACAGATCTTAGGGATGGAATCAGTATGTTTACTCTCGCATTACCACTTAATGTCTTCTCGAATTAGAAAAACGAGGATTAACTCTTGAATATGGCAAACCTAACAGCTAATTGTAAACGCTTTCGAAACTTTTCCTACACAGTTTTCATCACTTCAATTATCTCGAGAGACATTAATAACTTCCGCTCAAAAGAATCAACTCCTAGTGCATAAATTATGTGTTAAGCATACCGTATTGTTTGTTCTTGTTTAAAAGACTATGAATTTACAGATTCACTGGAGTGGTTGAAACTTGGCGAAAACAAACTAGATGACATACCGTCTCAGTCCTTGAAGAATCTCAGAAGACTCAGACAGCTAGACTTACGAGGAAACAACATCTCGAAAGTCCGAGAAGATGATTTCTTGCCATATGGGAAAAATCTGAAGTTCATCTACTTGCAAAACAACTGGTACAAGTCACATTTCTTTTTCAAAGTTTTCTTAAATCTTGAGTAAATAATTATGTTTTACTGTGGTTAACTTAGAAAATGTAATTTATGTCATCAACTGCCTTACTCTTACTCGGGATTCTTTCTTTTCTCTAAAGAATAGCCAAATAAATAAAAGCAACATCGTGTTTCGTAATACATTTCATTTTTTAAAACGATACGTTCTCCGACTTTTTTATCTTTAGATGAAATGCCTCTTCGTTGTGCCTTTTTTTAGCTTGAATAAACTTAATTTTTAAAAGTAATTTTATACTGTAGTGCCAGTCAATGAGTTACATTATTACCAAAATCAGCTACCATATTGCTGGCACGTTTAATACTTCATGAGCAATATTCAGAGTGACCATGTAGAATCTATCGGATTCGATCAACCTATGGCAAAATGAATAAACAAAAAAAAAATCTGAAATGTTTCAGATTTTAAATTACGTCCAAAGGGGCGTTTTTTAACATTTTGTGTGTTACCTTTCTTTATTAAATATCATGTTCCTCGCACTTAAACCATAAGATCCAGTGCAACAGCAATATCGCAAAATAGTTTTAAAACGAGCCTATCTTTAGAATTTCCGATACAGAGACTCACGCGCTGGAGATAAAAATGTTTTTTCTGCACAACGTTGCCATTGCTCGCTTTGAAATCCTTGAGTTTGTTAATCAAAAATTCGTCAAAGTTTTAAAAATAGGAAATCGATCATAAAACAAATTTCAAATTTTCAAATTTGGTCTTCCACATGCTCATATTCGTTGGAGGATTACGTTATTCAAAATTCGATGACTCTATGTACCGTTGTTTTATCACAATACGAGAAATATACATACATTTATGCAGATTTTTCATTATTTAATTTCTTCAAATATAATGCAGCACTCTAACATTTTGTGGCAACAGTTTGAAAAGTGAACCGACATTTATGAGTCCGACGCAAAATGCCAAAACGAAACTAATAGTCCTTCGGGATTCAAATCCCTTTGGACTAATAAATGGTGAAGTTTCCTATGGGTCCGGCTATCCGTTAGCGAATATCTAGTCGGCAAGTGCCCAGCCATCTGGTAGTAAATTTTCGAAACAGTTACTTTAATATAATATCTTAACCGTATGAAATCGTTCAAAGGAATTCTATTTCTCAACTCATATATTTTATGCCAATAATCTTAAAATGTTTTAATTTATTTTTAAATGTGTAATTCTTAGCCTTCTTTTTTATTGATGATGATGCATAAACGTAATCCCCTCAGTAAAGGTAATTAGAATAATTTCACTTCTTTCAAAAGGGAAATAAATTGCATTATTAGCACCAGAGGGCTCTTAGCCTCAAACTTCACTTTTTTGTCCGTATCACTTTTCAAATATTGCCGTAAAATGTTAACTCCATGTATTATTTTTAAAGAAATAATATATCGAATATAAAAATCATATGACATCACAAGTAAAAGGATGTTACCACCAAGGAGGTTATAATAAATGGAGTAAGCCTTCTCCATATGTCCCGTGCAATGAAAATTAAGCCATGCTATGTCACGGTAAGACGTCACGAACTTCTAGTTGGTTTTATTTACATTATAATTAGTTTTTTCTATACGTTAGCTATACATCACTGAACATTTACAAGTCTCCCATTCTTATTTTAATACTTAACATGACTGATTTTCTATTTAGTATATAGAAAAATTGCAAGGACTGAAAATAATTGTTTCATATTTATTCTAGGTACATATGAATCTGCAAATGGTAACCATAAGGCAAATATTATACATTGTAAAATTTGTAAGACTAGTGAAAGTTTCAATGGTATTATATGGAAATTATGCCTAAAGACATTTTTCTGAGCCTAAGGACGTTAATATTTGCTCTCAAAGTCAGTGTAATTTTATTTGACAACATGTTTTAAAGTCGTATCCGAACGCTGTATGGCGGCCATGATAAGTCGTGGCGTTACCTTGTTGACAATTTCTTGGCTTCACTTTAGTGACGTAATGCTTACTCCATCTATTCTAACCTCATTGATTAACCAGCAAATGTTATCTGTTTGGATCATTTTAAAGAAATAATGTACAGAATAGAAAATGATGAATGGCAACACAAATAAAAGGATGTTACTAATATTCAAATGTTATCACCACTAATTATTTTTAAAGAAATAATGCAGAGAATATTTCAAAAATGCATGGCAACATTTAACATTCCACTGGGAATTCTACAGATATCGGATATAAAATATTTTTAACTGACACGCGCCTGTTTGTTAATTTAGCGAAGAGTGAGATATTTATTTTTTCTGTAAAGTTAATCTGCTTGTTATTGATCAAGAAATTAAGCGATATAAATGCAGCTATTTATCTCTTCTATTAATTACCAGCTAGACCCGTGAAATCATACTAGATGGATTTACTAAAATCATTATATTTGTTTTTCTTTTTATAGTAAATATTTCAGGCTGCTGGCCGCACCAGACGCTAGTTATTTGAAAAATGAGAGGACAATAAAATTGATTTCACACAAGAGTGAAGTTCAAGAATAATAGCCGTTTGTGGCTGGAAAATGCCTCATAGAGTGCGAGATAGTTGGTGTCTCGTCTAGCGGGTCAGTCCATGCGGAGCTGATCGAGTTGAGAGCCGGGCAGCGCGTGCCGAGTGGGTCGTCAAGTGCATCGTCATCGAAAGAGTCTCTTCGTATATCGCGGTTAGTGCATCATCTAGAAAGTGTGTTGAACTCTGGGAACGACTGAACCGAAGAGTCGGGAGCTGTGCTCTGTGTGTCGTCGAGTGCATCGCGCGTTGTAGCCTGGAGAGTCTCGAAAGTACGTGGAGTTCCGAGAACGACCGAGCAGAGTCGGGAGCTATACTCTGGAGCTTTGCAGGGAAGCTCTCTCCACCGTTATTGCCTGACAGTGTGAAAGCTGTGTCGCTGATTGTTCCAGCGTGTTTATAGTAGATCTTCCAAGACTGTCAAAAGTGTTTCGGAACTGTCCTTATTAATATTGGTAAATAAATGGTGTTTCGATACTTCATCAAGTGTCGTCGTTATTCAATCCAAATCCACACGAACCCCGTACGAACGTGAAGGAAGAAAATAACATAACAACTGGTGTCAGAAAAAAAAATGAACAGCATAAAGTTTACATCCATAGGTGTGTGTACATATTCACGTTATGCACATAATTTATTTTGTCTACTACTGCATGTATAAATTGGATGTCTGAGTAGGATGAGTAAATTGGATGTCTAGTTTCTAGAGTTATATTTGTGCTGAGAAAGGCAAAATCTACGATTTAAGCTATTTTAACGTGCATTAATAACTAAAGCTTGTAAGATATGTTATAGCATTTCATAAGTAATCAAGAACTGTGGATTTGCCATATGTGACCTTTTCAAGAAAGCACCGTGACTGCAAGAATACCTTCAAAGCCTTGAAATTATGAGCATAGTGTGGGGATTAAAAGGCTCAGAATGAATAGGATCAACAACAGTGTGTAAAAATCATTTTAAGCTCTGATTGTGTAATTAATAACTCCAGTATTGGACTTACCAAACATCAGTATAGGAACCGTGTAGCTTCCCTTTCATTATATAGATTTTAGGAGTTGACATCCAACATTAGAACGCTTAATTAATGCGTGACACATATTATGCAGGTCACCTCATTTCAGACACTGGGTGGTTAATGGCAGGAAACAACTATTATCGTCCTAACTAGTGGCGTTTCAAACCATTTCGCCAAATGAGACGCCCTGTGTGCGGAGAAAATCCCACGAGTCATGGATCTCAGATGTCAACAGAAGACTTTACATTCTGTGGTAGCTTGATGATTATGAAGCTACCACAGTATATGTAACACATATATGCAACACATATAGGATTTGTTTGGCAAGCATTCAACGGGATCCTGATCGTTCGAAATCATATAGATGACAATTATGCCACTATCGTTCCATAACCTTTCATGTCGTGCATTTATTCTGATGGGTTTGGGTTTAGTCTTCTCTAACAGTTACATAAGTCTAGAGATGCCGAGTTATGGTAAGAGGAATCTTCAGTTAAGTTTGGAAATCTTACTATATAAATTTAAGTCACCAGATCTCAACGTTATCGAGCACATCTGAAATGCCATGCATTGCGTTTCGGATCACAGAAATACTACGTCTCCAAATACAAAATTATGGACTTTTCTGCAGAATATAGTGTTTATTGCTCACAGAATACTCCCGCATACTCTTTAAGCTCTCTTTCTCCTTCCCAATTTTTTTTTTTTTTTTTTTTTTTTTTTTTTTTTTTTTTTTTTAATGAAAGACTTACTAAGCTTAAAGCTTTTGAACCAAGTTTTCTTCCCGCAATTTAGGGTACATCCACAGTCATTTACTTTAAAGTTCTCTGATTTAAAAATGTTTGCTTGAAAATGTGTTTTCTCTATCACTCTTCCAGGCTAATATCTCTTGAGCCGACATCACTACTTTCACTGGATTCTCTTGAATGGTTATACCTACAGTCAAACCAATTGACTACTGCTCCCTATGAGACATTTGCGCCAGTCTTAAACACACTTCAAGTTTTCGACATACATGGTAATTAATTCCTTTTTAATGATAATCATAAGTAAATTAATCTGTTCTGTCTCTGTTATTCTACGTTGGTATATGATTTTACCCAGGAAATTGAAGTTAATAAAATGCTTTATAATTAACAATAAAAAACAATATTAAGAAGGCTTTTCACGTTATGAAATTATATACAATATTATCTTCTGTATTCGATACTTCGCTAATTATCATAGAATTAAAGGCTAAACATAAATATATAGTTAAACTAAACTGAAACTTTTCGAGCAAGGAAATCATCTACGAAAGAAAACAATTGATTGTTAGAATAGTTTAATTCTTTGAATATCAAATTAGCAATATTTCATTAAATATAAATGGCTCTTTCATGATTCTATAATTTATAAATTAGTCATCAAAGTCACAGTTTTTTACGTTACTGACAAAATTTATGAAATGGCAAGGTACATTTTTCTGGAGCTCTTCGTACGCAAGAGTTTGTATTTCTAGTCAGTCATATTAAAAAGAGAAAGTTAGCTGAAACTGTTAGTTTTACAAATCTGAATAAGAAAAAAAAACTATAATTAAATTAAGAGGAGTACCACTAGTGGGAACTAAAAAATTTCATATTAAGGGAAGTACCACTAGTGCGAACTAAAACATTTCTTCAGGTATTATAAGTTTTGACGTTTAATAATTTTCAGCCAATAAACTATCGCTGTTCTTGTATTCAACAAACTATAGTTTGATGCAGAATGATCTTAAATTCTATATTTCACATTTTCCATTTCTAACGAATATTTTCAAACCAAATACGCATATAAAAAGTTCTTTTTTATTATTTAAATTTCAAAAACAAATAATTAAAAATTATATAATAGTGAGGATCAATTTTCTTAAATGTTTGATTTGAAACCAGACCAGCAACACTTAAACTAACTACATACATCCCGGCTTATCAGTAAAACTTATATTATAAATGTGTCTAAAAGAGTGTATCCTTTGGTATTAACTTTGAAAATTTAAATATTTTCAAGTTGCAAAAGCAAGTTGCAAACGTTTATCTAAGCAAGTGTTTAAGACAACCTTTGTCTTTATAAATCCTCATGAAGATTTCTTCGCTATCTAAATGCGAATGAAATTAATAGGTATTTTTTAGATTTCGCTTAGTTCATGAATATATATATATATATAATAATTATCTCGTAGGGATATAAAAAAATCGTAATCTTTAAGGTATAAGGAAAAATATTTAATTACGTGCTAGAGCATACTGGTAGGCATTAATTAAGGTAAATTAAAGAACTTTGTAAAAACATTAAAAAATCAAATTAATTGTAAAAGACTAAATGCTCTAAAGAAATAACAAAAAATTATTATTGTCATTGAACGGAGATTAATTGTATCAAGGAGAACAATTCTTCCCTTTCTGTGTTCTAAATTCTTTACAGTAATTTTCCTGTACTGAGTTTTTTCAAATTAATTCTATCAAACTTACACATGCAATTTTTCAGCATTGTGGATGGCTCTTCAATTGCGGAACTCAAATTTAAACAAAGAACCAAGTCTTTAAATATCGTTGCTACTAATGCGCGGCGCTTTATTAATGCTTCGCCCTGTTGCTAACCATGTATAGTTGCTGCTTCGCTTCGCCATTATGTAAAGAGATATAAGCTGTATAAAATTGTAGGGTGCATATCGCAGCCATAATAATGATATGTGAGCCATTTTAACTACGAAATAAAATTGCGTGTTCAAATCAATGGCCACGTCTGAAAGATTTTCTTCTCCATTCTCTCGTCTTAAGTATCTACGCTTCTATATTTCTAATCTTCAAGTCATCCACAGAATTAATTTACACATATAAACATATAAACATAAGTCAAAAGTTAAACGTGATTAATACTGCTACTTATTCATCAACTGCAGTAAAGGTTAATACAGAATTAACTTTAATAAAAATGTAAATTATTGGTAATTTAATTAGAATAATTAAACTTATACATATGTTACGGTGAAACACCGAAATCTGGAGAATGTCGACTTTCACCGGTGAATGTCAACATTCACATAGTCTCTTGGGGTATGTCCGAAATATTTTCCAAATACTCTTATTTCTGACTTACACCGGTCAATATCGACATTCACCATATACTAATGGTGAATGTTGAACACATAACAATATTATATTTTCTTCTCCGTAATTCAGTCGCGAATAAACGCACTTGAGACTTGAAATAAGATTTTAAGAACATGAGAACCTAAAACACACAATGCATTCAAAATGAGAAAGGAAAATAATAGAAGTTAAAAACTTACTTAATTATACAGTACGTTCTAAATGAGAAAATAAAATAACAGTAATAAAAAACTTACTAAATTATGTGATTCAAATCTTATTTATTGCAACAACTTAAACTATTATGCACTTTTATGACCTCTCTTTTCGACTTCACCAGAGCATATCTGTGATTGTCGACTACACCGGTGAGGGTCCGAATGTACAAGAATTAGTGAATATTCGATCTTTAACCGATATGTGGTAATGTTGATATTCTCCGGTGAAAGTCGACATTCTCCAATTTCGGTCTTTCACGGTAACATATATATATGTATACGTATATATGCGTGGTTCTTCAAACAAAAATTTTATTTCCTGTCCTACAACACTGGTCTCAAACACAAATTGCACATGGATAAAATTTACGATCTGAAAGTAGCTGACGAGCCGCAATAAAAAATATCTGATGTGAACACCACATGACGTCCTCGTATGGCCTATTAAATTATACACATTTTTGCTGCATTTCATTTAAACTAATTTCCTTGAATATCATAAAAGATATATTTCTCATTCAACTAATTCAGCTCTTACTTCGCGGCAAAGCAAAAATACATAAAAAATCAGAATATCGTCATTAAAAATTGTAAAATACAGAAAAACATAAAACACGAAATATAGTTTAAAAAAACAATTTTTACAACTAAAAATTAGATTTTCTAAGCAAAAACAAGCAATTCATCTAGCGGGCAAGATGGCAGATTTTTCGGTGCACAAAGCTGAAAGCTTACATTTAGTCCCACTCGGCAAAAAGACATTGAAGGTGCAGAAACTGGTACTATTCTCCTGAGTTTCAAATGTAAAGAAATGACGATTCGTTAGGCTTAACTCGCTATTTGCTAATGTTAAATTTATGATAATTCTACAACTATTGCATGCAGATTAACTAAAGTCATAAAAACCTTAACCGGAACATAAAAACCACATAGTTCAATAACTTTTAAAGCAAAAAAATGCACAATTTACCAACATATAAGAATTGAAAAACTAAGCTCACCGAGGCAGGTAAAAGAGTGGGAATATAATTAGTTCGCAGCAATTATTAATTTATTTGTATACAATTAAAATTTCATAATTATATATACGATTGGTGCAGCCGATTGCAAAGGAAAAGGGAGATGCACAACTACATGTTATAGCAGTCTCATATACAAAATTTCAGCGTTCCACGGCTACTCCTTCCGAAGTTATGCGAGATACAGAAGTTATGCGTATAGAAGTCAAGAAAAGGTGCTCTACTTAATCCATTTTAAATCCATTTTACAATCTTTTTTTGACAAACACAGTCCTTTATTCTGTCTATACATACAGATGTCACGCAAAAACTTCGTTCAAATGGTTCCGAAAGCGGTTGAAATGAATATTTTCGTTGAAATATGATACCCGAAATTTTTCGCAGTAGTTCATTTACTTCGTACAAGAAGTATTATGTTAACTAAACAAATATTTTTAACTAGATTTTTTTTAAAATTAGGTATTTGTTAAAACATACATATTAAAATAACACAGAAAAAATCCAAATTTATTTCTTTTCGTACTTGAAATTCAAAGACTGTCATCTGCAAGAACATTTAATTGGACACAGTTTGTAATTCAAACGCATTGGCAATTAAATATTAAAAGTTTCAGATTGACTTTATTAAAAAAATTGTAATATATTGAAGTAATTACTAACTTACTTTTAATTTAAACTATAATTAAATATATGAAAAAATCCCAAGACAGACAAAATTGGGAATAAATAATGACAATTCTGCTATTAATTTTCAACTAAGAGAAAACCTGTTCATATGTAAATGTACTCCGAAAACAAAGCGATTATTGTTATTGCAAACATCGTGACTGAGCTTTGTATATTGGTTTTCCCTCTCTGTTTTCTCATTTTTGTAACGCTTGTTCAGTGTTTTTACAAATTAGTTGTCTGTACTTTTAAGCTACGTTGATTGTCTATTTAATGGATTCTTATTAGTTACAAACATATATGTATATCTAAACAAATTATTAGGAGTGCTGAATTCGTATCTCGTGAGCAACTTGGATTGATGTCCAACTTACACGTTGTTTCGATTGAATAAATGAAACTAGAGTAATGTATATCATTTTTTGCCTTTTTAAGATCAAATGAACTTAATTTCAATGTGTAACATCTTTCTAAAACAGCAACACGTATAAGGTATCTCTCCCGCTTTCCTAGCGTGCCTTCGTGTTACAGTGGTTCTGCACCCTGGGCTGGTATTCCAGAGGTCCGTGGTCCAATACTCGGTGAAGGCAGTTGCTAATTTTTCATCTTTCCTGCTTCCAAAAAATACCTAATGTCTCTACAGACGTACTAATTCTTTCTAACATAATAGGATTTTTAAAACTCCTCGTATTTTTAGAATAGTTTTCTATAGCCTTTGCAGAAAAATTGAATATTGCAGATTAAAAAACTTTCTTGTAGTCTGTTACTTTAGACCAGGCACTTCAGAGTCAAATTTGCCCCTCCCGAATTATCTTGTAACTTTGATTACCAGTAAATGGTTAAAGCCCCAATTTTTTTTCCTTCTCCATTTCCATTTAGCGTATTTCGCTTCGTGAAAAGCACACGAATGAAGAGTTATAATGTATTTCTCCCGTCTTCTTAGCATGTCTTCGTGGTGTAGTGGTCAGCATGCGTGACGCGTATTCGAGAGGCCCGTGGTTCAAGTCCCGGAGAAGGCGTTGCTCATTTTTCATCTCTCCTACTTCGAAACAACCTAATGTCTCTACAGAGTGACTTGAATTACAGTCAGATGAGGTGGAGAAAATAAGTGCTGGGCTGTGGAGACGGCACATGTTACGATAACAAATGAGGGAGGTTTGGAAAGCCCTTGAGTGTGTGTGTGATTATGGCAAAGCCTCGAGGGCTATCTGCCTAAGAGGAGGGATGCCTTCGTGGAGGACTTTCTAAGGGAAACTGGCTCGTATACACGTTACACATGGGGAAAACCACGAAAACGCCCATGCAGCCAGCCCGTTCGCGGGATTCGAACCTCGGACCGAACTACCAGTGTTCAGCGACTTTACCGCTCGGCCGCTGGTGGGCGGAAAGCCCTTGAAGGGCCTGTTTTAAAGTAACAGACTATAAGCAGAAACGCTCAATTAAGTAATATGGACTTCTCTAGTTCAACGATAAGTTTCGCTAACCAACTTACTTACTACCAGCTGAGTCGCTGTACCGCCTGTTATATGACTGTAAATTTCAATGCCCTTAAAGTTGAATGAACAGATTAAATGCATTAACTGCAGTTTTGAAATTTTAGTGTAAACTCTAAGCACCATCGCAAATATTTGAATGTAAATTAAATAACTGGAGCAGAGGAATAAGGAAGGATGTCTTGCATCTAATGATGAAGGATCGTACTGTGTTTTTCTTACATGCATGGAAAGGGAATATTTTTCAAAAAAAATTAATCCTTTAATTATATTCTGTCTCTTTCAGACAATCCCTTTCATTGTGACTGCAGCATATCGTGGTTGAGAGAGTGGATAAAAGGTAAAGGTGCAAGCATCATTAACATGGCTCAAGACACAAAGTGTGTAACTCCTGAAGTCTTTGAGAGCATGCCTCTTGCTGAGATACCTAGCGATCAACTAATTTGCATCTCAGGAGCTGTCACGCTGCATAACTATGCCACTATTTTATTTCTCATCGTGACACTTCTAATATTTACATCCGTTTCTTAATCAAAGGCAGCGAACTGCAAAAGAAACTTCCTCGGAACAAAAACAGAACTCATGCACACATTTTTAAGTTCCACTGATTTCACCTAAACTGCTAATTTTGCTTCACTTACCTTAATGTTGCTGTGAGAAAACACCAACGTTTATCTGTTGAATGGTAGTATAATGTTGGTTATGAACACACGCCATTCATCCTGCTGTGTATTGAGAAAAGCTTGACCATCATTGAAAAAAGCAAACTTAATTATGGTCTGCAAAATTCGGAAATTATCCAAAATGAAATGCAAGACTCATACGAAAGAAAAAGGTTGGAATCAAAGCACATTTCGTGTACATATTAAATAGAGATATCTGCTCCTAAAACTAATTATAATCCTTCAGCAAAAAAAATTATATTTTCTATTTCAGATGCATGAGAAAATTATTGCTGATTTTTATTTCATATGTTATTTGTCTGAGACTAATTAGATCGATTTAATTTTAAAAATCATGTGAAAAATTCTTTAGATACAAGCAACAATAATTGATTATTAAATTTTAGAAGGCATCCTCAGTCATTTGCCCAAAATCAAAAGAGAATTTTATTAATAAAATGTTTGATCCTTTTTAAAGCACTCTTTGTTAGAACCCCTTTTTCTGCTGTCATAAAGGATATATAAGAAACGTGGATATTTGCATAACTTCAATAGGTTGACAATTGTAAAGTCATCATATTAGCAATGGAAAACACGTTACTGATGAAGATTCAGATTGCTTCCAAGAAACTGTCTCCATTTAGCAATGACTATGGGAAGACCTTTCGTTTCTCAAAGAAACGGTTCACTTTCATTCTGCTTCTACAAAATATAATGAAATACTTAGAACATACAGGCTAACTCTGAGTGATAACAAGTAAAATTACATATCTTCATGAAAACAGCATAAAGGAGACACTTACACGTATTCAAATGTTAAATGATTATACGAGAGTTTACCATCACATTTTATACAAACATATCTGTGGTAAAACATTTAATGTTTTTTACTCCTTATCAAAGGAGAAAATATATTTCCAAGTATATCAAAGCTTCTGAGAAAAAATAAATTATATACAAATTAAGTGTAAAGGAATATCGACGACTGAATAAAAGAAAATTAAATCAGTGTGGTTTTAAGAAGGGTATTTTCATAACGGACCTCCGAAACCTCATATCAGTGTTGTGATTACAGGCTATTATATAATATTGTATGTTAAAGCAGCCAACCTTTCTGACAACTGTGTTATATATTACTTTGTAATTGTTGAATTTGAATATGAAAAACTCTACTGGAATTTCTTATTATCCGTGTTCAGATTTAATGTCGATATGTTTTCTGGCGAAACACAATTTGTTCCTGTTGTTTCCTTATCATCGTCAAGGGAAAAAAGCAAAGGAAGAGGAATGCAGCCATTTTACTTCCTGTTGTTTTCATATTATCCTCAATGCAGAAAAGCGAAGTTAATTATTTTTTGTGGTCTGCACGCACAAATTGTTACTAAAATACGAAGCTTTCTATTTTTTGTTCGAAAATATGTTTCAAATTTGCTGCCAATAACTCTTTTAATTTTTTTTTATATTCGCAATTTAAGTAATTTCTCAGCATTTTGTGATATATTTGCGTACATAAGTAAAGTTATTCACAGAAGTAAGTAATATTGATAAAATAACTCTGAGAAACTTTATTCTGTAACTACTTTAATTATTTCATTCTGATTTGCTACTTAGTGAAATTATAACAATATTTATGCTGTAAAATATTAGATTTGTATTTAACAATTAAAGCAAAGTAATGATTTATACAATTACAATACGAAATGATTACATCTTCACATTGTTTGAATAAACTAAGAAAATAACACAGAAAACTGTTTAAGGGTGCAGGCTCTGAGAAGGAGAATTAAAACCATGGACCCCTCTTCTTACCAAAATTGTTTGGATATTTTTATTAGTTTGTTATTCATTGTTGTTAAATACATTGCAGATAATAACGTGCTGCTCATAAGATGGATTTCTTCTGTTGCCGTCTTATAACAATAACGAGTCTAAATTTTATGAATTCTAATTAGAAGATTGATTGCTTTCAGTATCTTATGGATGAATAGGTAGCTCCAGTATATCTGGTAGGATGATAAACGAATTAGAGCAACTGTAGTATATTTCATTTTATAAACATTTTTATGTTCGTTATATGCTGTTGAAAAAATGTTAGGCTATTTTTTTTTTTTCATTTTATTCTATTATTTCATTTATTTTCATTTAAAGCGCACATCACCACTCTAAACTGATGCATGGGATAAGGAAATTTTGCTATCCAAGTATTTTGCTGTACCAAAGTATTTCATTTCGCAACTAGTTTATCACCACAGATTACAGAAACAAATAAAAAAACAACCAAAAGTTCTTTAAAAAAAATATAAAATTATTCTATATAATTACTTCAAAGATGAATTTAAAAATATATTTTATTAAACATAATGATGTTACAAGTATGCATAAAATTGTTAGTCAGTATTGGAAATTAAATGTAATCGAAATTAAACAAAATAAGTATATAAGTAAAAAATAAAATAAAGATTTATACTATGAAGAATTATTGCCTTCCCCGTGCGTGCTGGCACGTCGTAACTACTCACACTTCCGGCTAGCAACTGGAAATCCGTAGTTCAACTCCCGGCAAGGCCATTTCTGAATTTTAACATCTCATGCTGCTAGTATTCTAATAGCTCTACAGTTTTACTAAGAAATGATTTTATGGCTTTCTAATAGCACAGTTTATTAAGTAATTACAGATTTATTAACAATAAAAAATATTTAATGATATTATATACTGTCTAATGGAAACGTTTGGAGAACTAGCTGTTTGCGAGGCAGAACAGAAGATTGAGTATCTTTCATTTACACATTAACAACTTTTGGCAAACAGGAATATAAGTGTAGGTAGCTTAACATAACGCAACATGCTGTTCCAAATAGGCAAACATTTGCAAATTGATGTATTCGTCCATTATGGTACACCACATAGGACGACTGAATTACATCTGTGAGAAAAGTACAGCTCGATCCCAATTTTGATGGAACAAACCGAGAGACGAATCAGAGGACCTCCCATTCCTCTTTCTTTTGCTAAAACTATCGATAATATTAATTCGTATCGTAAAAACACTAAACTAGAGAGAAGGTAAATACCGTCCAAGACGTTTTAAAGACAAGATATGATTTTAAAAATGGCGCTGTATATTCTGCAACAGAAGTCAAATCAATTTCGTATCGTAGACGTCACAAAAGAACTGCATTATTAGCGTATGCAAACAACACTAATAGCCCCGTTTACTATTGCAGAGTTCCACAAAGACAACAGAAAATATCTGCTGAACTAAGCGAAAATAAAGGCGAATTAAACCTTAAAATAAACGTAACTAGAATGAAATACTAATCAAAATTTATAACTGAAGCATTGTTTCTTTAAGAACCTTTTTTACAAATATATTATTATTTTCGTAATGAAGTTTTACTTTTAAAAAATGATGGTGTATTTAATTATGGCAAAGCACACTAGAGCTATCTGCCTAAGAGGAGTGATGCCTTCGTGGAGAACTTTCTGAGGGAAACTGGCTCGTATACACGTTACACATCGGGAAAACCACGAAAACGCCCATGCAGCCAGCCCGTTCGCGGGATTCGAACCTCGGACCGAACTACCAGGGTTCAGCGACTTTACCGCTCGGCCGCTGGTGAGCCTTTAAAAAATGAAACTTAAATTTTTCTTTGCTGTTAACTTATATTCTGCGAAGGTAAATATAATTTTATAAAATGATGGATTAATATAAAATAGAGAGAGCCAACGAAATGATTTTTAGATAACAGCTCTGCAGTAATATTAGCCATATTAATGCAAAACATATTTCCCAATTTTTAAAGCATACCTACGATGAGAACACTTAAGACTGACTACCTAATTAATCTCTAAAGTATCGAAAATTAATTTATATTTGTTCATACCTGATTTTTAGTAACACATTATTTATTTATTACATTTTCGGCTTTTATTTAATTATTGTTGTATTGCTCATTCCTTATTTTAAATAACACATTTATTCTTTTATTAATTTTTTTCGAATTTTATTTAATTATTATTTTAATACTTTCTTAAATAGCAACTGCTCCTGATTTCTTCAGAATTTGATCCCCTAAAGCATTTTATACAGAATTTAATTAGATCTTATCAACTGATTTTTAAGTTTTAAATAATATTTGTGGACAGTTAGTGACTTTTCTTTGTAACTTTAAATTTTCAGTCTTTCAGTTTCTTATTTTCTGTTATTAGAATGTTTTTGTTGTTTCTTCTGGTTTTATTTTTACATAATAACCCTTAAATTAAACACTGTCTTTTAAAATGTAAGTTACAGGCATTTGTAGCAAGTGTATTGCTTACAACTAATTCTATTAAAATTTACTGCTTTTCTTTTTATGTTCTGATAAAAAATCTAAAAATTTTGTTCTATTGCTTGTGTACTTCTTTTTAACGTCCTATCTTTAGTAAAATATTCTTTCTTTACAAAATCTGCTTTCGTTATGTTTTTCTTAAATAATTCTTCATATTTTTCCAGGGTGATTTTACTTTTTACTTTCTTCTTTTCAGTCCAATATATATTTATATTATACTCCATTTTTCCTTTCTTGCAGTGTTTGCCGCCTTAAATGTAAGATCAACTGTTATTCTTCTAGGAATTTCTTTAACATTCTGATGCTTTAGAGTGCTTTAGTTCACATGATCATTAAAATAATTAAATATTAATGAGAAATAGAAAAGTGAATAATATTTCAATTCTTAGTTAATAGTTCTTATAAATATTTTTAGTTATCAGTTCTAACGAAAATTCTTACGTCTGACGAATATGTGTATAGAAACATCTGTTGGTGTAGTATACTTAAAATTAAAGAATTTTCAATAAATATTTTTAACGTTAATTATTTTGTATGCGACTAGCATAAAATGATATGGAATAATATCAACTCTATGGGTAATATTTATTTAACATATTACTATATGGTAAGGTTTTAGATTAATTTATGCAATTATTTACTTGAAATCTTTAAGCATTCAATAATTCTAAAATTGTATGAAACGTCAACATTTAATAATCTAAGCATATTCATGTTCGTAACTTTTCCCCTATATATTATAATTAAACAAACATAAGATCAACGTAAAAAAAAATGTGAAAATGAAACACGTAATGGATATTCCATATTCACGATATCTATCTCATTCTTCTTTCCAATATTACAGTTGACTTGTCATTGTCAATATCTCCAGTATTATAGTAGTTAAATCGTTTGCTTTGAGCTACTAAATAATTATTAACTACTGAACTATGGATATGGATATGATATACTATCTTATAATAACAGCTGTTTGATTAATTGTTTTAAAATGAATATTAAAATGCATTAAATGTTTATATCTATCTGCAAGACTGTTTAATATACAGAATATTTAAAAAGCAAATAAATTTAAGAAATTTATTTTAAACTAAAAAAATTTTGCAGATACCTAAGATTGTGGCAGTCCGTGAGTATAACTTTAAACGGAAATAATTTGACAAATATTTATTAACTAAATAACTCAGATGGCATTAGAATATGCAAGTTCACTGAAAAGTTTTAGGTTTTCTTATTTGAATCATATGAATCTACAGGCCCTGTTTTCTTCCCTGCTTTTGGTTTCAAATCTCAGTCCTTTACATTGAATTATAATTTTCACAACAATTTATGAAATAAAACGTGAAATAAACTTATTTGTCATACCTTGGTTAGTATTGAGGACGTAGCATTTTTCACATCGTCATGTGAAGAAAATTTCTTCCATGTAATTACATTTTCAATGCTGGGAAATCTAGGAATCACATGTCACTAATTGTAGTCTACATGCGGGTCATTCTAGCTTTTAAAAGATTAATTTCAGACTGTGTGTCAACGTCACAGCAGCTGGATATTGACCAAGAACAGACCCATTGTTTTTTGAGAAAATCTTTTCTCATTCATGTCTTTCATTTCCTTTAAGTTTTTAAAAGCGTTCCCATAATAGTTATTGTTTACTGTCGATTTACGAATGGGAAAATTTGGCTTTCGCAACTGTCCTGGATTACCTGTCCGCCGGTTACAAAGGTGCATTGTCGATCATTCGACGGTTATCTTTCTGAGGTGCTTGCATTCCAGAAATAATTGAAACATGGTTAAATGGTTCATCACCATCTGCTAACTGCAACATTTGAGCTCTTTCATTTCGACGTTTTCTAAATTTAACACAAAATCCAGTCACTGCTTGTAGTCAAATTACGTATATTCATAGTGAAGGCCATGACTATCAAATATCAGGCTCAAACATGTCGATATATCCATGTATTCCAGCAAAGAACTGCCACATCTAATATTCGAATATTTGAAATGATATGGATGCAAGCCTAAAATATTTCAATCAGATTTGCATTCGCCTAAGAAGAGAAATGCCTACTTTATGGAAAGAAAACATCCTGTGATATTTCGAATGATTTAGAAAATTTCGAATGATTCATTTTTATTGCCTTTTAATTTAATCCAAAATCCTAACAGCGTGTTTTTAAGCAGCTCTCGTGCAATGTTGACGATATATCTGCTAGACTTACTTTCGAAAAAAGAGCTAAATTTCTCTTATTTCCGGTTCAGTTACATATTGTTATCAAAACTCTGATAAGAAGTTGTTTCATTGACTAAAAATAAAATATCAGTATGAAAAATGTCAATGTTCTTTGTAATATTCTGATCAGTGACGAAACAAGAATTCATTCAATAACGAGATTTCATAAATAAGTTAAACTCCAAATAAAACTTAAATACATTTAACCCGCACAATTCCCTATTCTGAATCTGGAAGTTGGAATTCTAGACTTGGATATGTAAATTGTTTACTGAATGGAAATCTGGTCAGTTGTGTTCTGATAACACTTGTATGTTCTGAACTGTGTGTTTTCAGTGTGTCAATTTTGTACATGATGTCCGCAGTGCATTTTTATCGCTTTGTGGGAATATTTTAAATCATTTTCAGATTTCTTCTTAAATTAAAGTCATTAAATTAAATTAAAGTCATTAAATTAAATTAAAGTCATTAAATTAAATTAAAGTCAAATTAAAGTCATTTAAACTATTTTAGCGATTTTCATCTTACGTTATATTAACATAGATATCTGCAAAATAATTGCAATATATTAAAAGCATTTTTCTCAAAATTCTTGTTTTAGTATCTCAAAACTTCTAAAATGAAAACTATTTTCATTTAGTTTTGTGCTTTTATCCGCTTTTTGTGCTACATGATGTTAAAATGAAGAAAAATTAAGAAAGATATTAAGAGCACATGTATGTTTACATGTTATTAAAAAATAATTATATCCATAGAGCTACAAATGAATAGAGGAATCTAATTCTTGTAGTTTAACAGATATGGTAGTTTTTATTTTTTTCCATATTTGAAAGAATTCATTTTAATTCTAAATAATAGTAGAAAAACCGCTTTGAAATAAGTAAGAATCTTTCACAAGGCTTGTTCAGGCTTATTAAAAAAAACTTTCGTTGGTCTTAAAACTGGCTATTTAATATTCCTACCTTCTTTCTGAACAGTAACTAGCCATTTTTTATTTCTTATAATATAATTTGGAGTTCGAGTTTTTTATTTTCTTTATTCATATTCTTTAATTCGTATCTTCTTTATTCTGGTGCAGCGAAATATATTTACTTTCACATTCCCTTTTTAGACATACACGAAATCAGGATGCAAAACTGAACTACACAGTATTTCCAAGAAAATTATTAGAAGTTTTTAAAAGCTTTCATACTTCAGTAAAAATAGAATTATATAGGAATTATTTTTATCAAATATATCTTCTGCTTGATTCTTCTTCCAAAAATCAAATAGTTATTTGGAATTTTTTAATAACAGGATTTACCTAGCTTATTTACTATAAGTTCTTTGGCTTCAAAATTAAACATTCTTTCCCCTATCAATACGTTTCAGTAAATATGTCAAAACTTATAATAGTTATCAGATTTTTGCGGTATTTTCTGTATTTTGATAAACCGTTATATCAAAAATTGCATTTTATGAGACTTTTTAAACCTCAAACTTGTCAAGATAAAAAGGGAAAGCGAACGACTCGTGAATAGAACTGCCACAGATAAATAAGCTGTGCAGAGCTCTTCTTTTATTCTTCTGAGAATTCTAAAAAAAAGTCTCTTCCTTTATTAGAAAAAGAACTCACTTTTTCGGTAGACTAATTCCTTGGACAAACATATCTGCTATTATTTCAGACTCTTCATTTTTATTTTTTAGGTCTTAATTTTTTTTTATCTAAAAGTATCTATTCTGATGCAAAACAGGAAAATCTACATGTACATAATAATCAAAAAACGAAATATAAAGTTCTGTTACCTTGAAATTTTTATAACATTGTTATATTTGTATTATGCTGTTACAAGTTCCTTGGAACTGAATGTGAATTGAAAATTACTTCTTCATGATTAAT